ATTTTTGAGGGAAGCCACGTCAAGAAGCACAGAGCAGATGAACCGGGCAGGAAGACAGACTCAAAACAGCAGAGAGAATCTGGTTGCAGACTCCTCATTGTATATCAACAATAAACACTTAAAACAGACGATTTAGAGAAACAATTTAACTGCATAGCCTACTTAGCCATGGTTTAACAAATAAAAAAAGTCAGCAAAATCAGATGAGCAAAACCTATTCTGAAATGCTCCATATGGATATGTAGCCTGCAGAAAGCGGAACAAAGCCGGCTCAGAGAGAGCTGTTATCTGTAGTTGAATCACATAAAATGAAAAATTAACATGTCAACAACGCAGGGCAGCTAAACGCTCCGCTGCTGAATCACTTCAGCGTGAGCCGACGCCGGACAAAACCGCGGCACAGCCAACGCTTGTGTCGGTTCGGTTGACACCATTATCCCACATTTTACTCCAGTTTCGTTTGTTGTTGTAAATTGTACATGCCCTGTGCCACTGTGATTGGTGAGTAGGATCATAACAGGAAGCAAGTCTGTCACACAACGGTATCTGCATGACTGTTTAAAACGGGTCAGATGCGCTGTATAATTAACCTACATTTTAATCATCGTCTTCACGATTAGCTAATCGCGTTCTTTCAAATCACAATTTCAATTTGAAAACGATTAATCGTTCAGCCCTAATATGCAACTATGAACTTATTAAATAAAGAGAAAACTTCTTGACGTCTCTGGCCCCGACTGAGAATAACAGCCTCTTCATCCTGACAACAATCCTCATAACACACAGCGGCATCCAGCAGGACAAACAGGACGTCGGGCACCATGCCTCCTTACAGCCAGCAACAGGCAACAACCAGCCGAGAGTAAAGTAGACGTGTTTTCCTACCCAGGACAGGGTTAGAGGGCAGGGTGGGGAGAGAGCTCAGGGTCCAGGACAGAAGGGGAGTTGGTGCTAGCAATGCTGAGCATCTATACCTGCAGGGCTGAGCACCAGGGCCTGGAGGATGTCTGACAGAGAGACGATGCCTTCGATGCTGGAGCGCTCGTCCACCACCACCAAACGATGCACCTAGCAGAAAAACACAAAAACAGATGAACTTCATATCAGTCCTGATCTCCCCCCCCCCCCCCATGGGTCACTAAATGTATGCACACATCGTTGTCACAAATCTCACTTCAGCTTTGACTATTCTGTCCACAATTGTCTCCATTGTTTCCATTTTGTGGCACTTCATGACTCCTTCGAAGTACTGACAGCGATGTTTCAGCGCCTGTGTCACCGTGATGTCCAGGTTGTTGTACGTCTTCTCAGCAGCCAAGTTCTACACACAATCATGAAAATGCATTTTTTAGCATCTACTTTTGTTATTTTGTCTCTTCAAAAAAAAAAAAAAACAACTGAAAATGTAGAAATTTCAACTTACAATCACATCAAACTTTGAGTAAATGTCCACAACTTTGCCTGTAAAGAGTGCACAAAGAACTCAAGTAAGAAAGTAAGTTAGTTTGTTTAGTATTATTTACTTTGTCAACAATGATGTTTGTGATCTTACCAGACTCATCCACCACAGGCAGGGCAGACACTCGTCTCTCCACAAAGATGTTGAGTGCTTTGATGATGGGTGTGTCCGCATGGATGAAAGCAATGTCATGGTACGTGCCAATGCCCAGCTCCCCGAGAGTCTGCTTCATGAAAGCTGGCTTTGGCATTTCACACATCTAGAGAACACAAACGCACAGACAGGGAGGCAAGGACCTGTTCAGTGTGATCACTCTCCACCCAATTCATTAAAGTCACATCCCATTGTATTAAATTTCCATGTTTACCACAAGGGGGCAGCAGGCAAGTGAAAGTTGGACAAGTAGTCATAATCATCCATCATATAGATTAAAATGCTGTGCAAGCTTGACATTCATGCACAGACAGGCCGACAGTGACCGTGCTGGACTCACAAAAAGCTGGAGAAACTTGAGGATCCTCTTGTGCGTGAGAATATAAAGTGCGTTTCCCGTGACGGGGTCGATGACAGGCAGGCGGTGAATTTTGTTTTTGATGAGGGTGTACACTGCGTCAAACAGGCTGCAACACAATAAACACAATGACCAGTTACAAGTAGCACAATAAACATCTGCTCCCACGCACACAAGCATGTGCAAAAACAGAAAGATTCTTTATTTTGAGACAGACAATGTACCTTGCATCAGGTGATATGTTGACCAGAGGTTTGAATGTTGCTTGAAGGTAAACCTCTGAAGAAAATGAATGAAATATTAAATGTATTTTATATTCTGCTTATAAAATGGCACTGAAGTCTAACATGCAAGTCACAAAAACACGACGGCATCATCATGATTGCTAACCTCTCCACGTCTCAAGCTTATGTTCCTCTAATTCATAAATTTGCACCTGAAATACAAGAAATAGATGTTAGTTTAAAAAAACAAAACAGAATTCCTCAATGAAAGCTTATCTCATGCAAACTTTATCTATCAAGTGGACCTACCATCGGTGACTTATAGTATCTGTGTAGTATGATGATGAAATCTGTGATTGTCAGCATTCCTACAATGAAAATAGACGTTAAAGCACTACTTCAACACACAACATAGAGCGCCATGCCTGCAGGCATTGTGGAGTTGGTTAGAGGAGACAGTGCTTACATGGGCGTGGTCCAAACACCCCCACCCCCCGCTTCATCATCAGGCTGACTTGGCATTCATTATTCATCACAGCTGACTTGCAATAAACTACGCAGGAGAAAAAAAAAAAAAACCCAGCACAAAAATAAAATTCACTTCTATCTTAGTAACAGAAGTCTGCTGCAATTTATTTTTTTTATTATCTCCAGCCTCTCTGAGCACTGGTCAATACAGAGGAGTCATTGCTGCGCTTAATGGTTTGTGACAGCTCCTGCGACTTCTCCTCAATATAGCATCATGCCCCACTAACCATGACCAGAGGCATTAATACACAGCGTTTCTTCCGTTCATTTAGCAATGGCGCACCAGCACAGCAGAGACAATTTCGATCTCTGTTAAGAGAAAATCTGAAATAAAATTAACATGCCAATTTTGCCTTTTTTCCCCTGTGGACTAAAAATATGCAGACTGCATATTCTCATTAAAGAGTCAAATCTACAGAGCAAATAAGAAGACTAAAAGGTAACTAAACATATTTTGTAAAACAAGCCTTACTTTGACTGAAAAGCAACAAACCTAGAAAACTGCAAACTAACAGTCAACACAAAACTACCAATAAAGCCTCTAGTTCTTATTATACGAACTATAAACAATTATTTTAGTATGTGAAACACCAAAAAAAGCATTAAAACGGCAAAAGTCTGCTACGTTTAGGAGTTCTTACCCACAAAACTTTGCTTCTCTGTGTCCCATAGTGGAGCAGCTCGCACACCGTTGGCTACCAAGGCAAAGAAAGCTTTCTTAACCTGTCAAGCAACAGTTGTCATAAAATATCTAATTAGATTATACATTGAGATAAAACACAAAACTTCACAACAATGTGATTATCATATCTGGAGCTGAAATACATAATTAGCTGATCAGTGGAAAATTAAATCCACAACAATTCTGATAATCGATTTGGATGTTGAATCAAAACAAATATTCACATGTCCATGCTTCTAAAATGTGAAGGTTTGCTGCTTTTTAATGTTTTATGACTTTAAATTGACCATCTTTAGGTTTTGAACACACACACACAAAAAAAGAGACTTCTAAAAAAAAAAAAGATTTCTAATCAAAAATAATCTTTGGCTGCTCCCGTCATCTGATGACATTTTGTAGCAGAGACACGTGATGTATCTTGTGAAGTACAATCTAAACCCTCGGCTTTGAGTTGGTTTTAGCTGTCATCATTAGAGCTTCTGTGGATTTCGCGGTTGAAGATCTACACATCAAAGAGGGCAAACTCTCAGGATTACTGTTTAACAGCTTTTTGACAATTCTATCAACCAAGCCATCGAAACCGCCCTGAAGCGAATACTCACGCTTATTTTATTGTACATTAACTTTGACTGAATACCTCTTTCGGTTCTTAAAACAAGAAACCACATTATCATATAAAGCTCTGTCTGCAGGCAAAACAAACGTTAGGCACAGTACTAACTTGGAGTGCCGTGTCGAACACAACCAGCTTGGAACTTGTGGGGACGATGTCGTAGCACTTGTGGGATTTCATAAAGCGCATGTAAATATCACTCTCAGGTTCAGCAGCTGTAAAAAGAAAAAAGCAGGAAAGTACTTTTAGAGGAAGGAGAAATCTCACAGGGAATATATAATGAGAGACTGGAAACAAAACACACTGGGAGACTAAACAACCATTATGTTTCTGAACCACTTACAGACACTTTACTGCGCCATCTTACTGATAATTAAGCTCTGCTTTAAGCACCAACAAGCACAGAAACAGTGGAAAAACACAGACAGCAAAAGTACTGTAGGAACTTATGTCCACCATGATTCAGTTAGATGATTACAGTAGGGTTCCCCCACACACAAAGTGGATTAATCTATTAGGCTTTTTTACTGACAAAATAAATTAGTATTTAATTATTTATCATTAAAGTTTAAAAAAAGTCTTGTTCCAGCTCCTGAAATGTAAATTTTTATTTACCTCGTTTTATATCATTGTAAATCGAAAAAAAAATAATATTGCTGATCAGACAAATTACATAAATTGTCATTACTTTTTTCTGAGATTTCAAAGATTGAATGATTTTTCCACTTTTGTAGCAGCCTTACTCACATGTTGCAATACAATGAGTTCAAAAGCTTTAATTATCATGATCGGAAGTTGATAGGAGGCCCTTTAATACCTCCTTTAAATGCCAGTCGGTAGTAGCTAACGTCATCATTCATGATTTATCAAGATCACTGCATAAAATTCTCATTAAAAATATTCGACTGAGATATTTAGATAAACGGGTCTGTTATGACAAGGAACCGGTCAATTCAGACGCATGTAGAGGGGATCCTCGCATTTCTGACGCACTGCGAACACAGTCTTTAAAAACACGTTTAAATCGCATATTTGTAGCGTGGTCTGACTAACGTTATCCGTCTGGCTAGAACTGCAATACCTGAAAAATTCCTGGTGCTACGGAGTCACCTTTATGTTACATTACTAGTTGCGTTGAAGGCTGAAGGTAGTAAAAGAGCAGAGGGACACTCACCATCATCATCTAGTTCAAGTTTCTCCAGCATGCCTTCGAATAAACCGTAGACCTGTGAGGGAGAAAAAAGGCAGAAGTTTGCAGGGAAGCGCGCAGCAAATCCTCACAAATCCTCACGCAGCAGCGCACAACAAAACTTTGCTGTAAATTTGTGAGTGAGTAGCTGGGTGAAGCGACTTTTCCCCAGCGGCCCCAGCAGACTGTGGTCACACCAAGTGCAGTGCGCAAAACACCAAGAACCACCAAGAAAAACACGTAGTGCGCCACCTGCGTTTTACCAGTTACATAAAGCTGCTCCATGTCCGCTAAATAGCCCAAACACAGGTAACGTGACAAAACCCCTTGTGCTGTTACAGCTGCTACTTTCCTGGCAGACTCATGTTGGACTACACACACCCCCTTAAAAACTCGCAGTGGAACAGTCCTGATCCATTTGCTGCAGTAATGGGGAACCAATGCCGACGCTGCTCAAACAGCCACCACACGGTCGTGTGAGAATTAATCCCGCCACAATAAACCATCGGAATTCATTGTTATAGTTTTAATCTGCCAAACAACACTCACCGCAGGAGCAGGCTCGCACATGAGGCGTGGAGAGAAAAAGCAGGAAGCTCCACGCGCTGTGGACACACCCCTCCATGCAGAGCAACCTGGTTACTTCACCATATTAGGAAGTCCCTTACGTTGCTTAGCAGCAAGAAGCTGGGGATGCCTTATCACGTCCATAAGAGTTAATAGCTTCTGACAAAACAGCAACATGGTAGAGCTCTACAGCAACAACAATTGCTTTAGCCTTGGTAATTGAGGCAGCTTGAGAAAACACCACATTGTGCCATTTGCATCTCATAGACATACATAGGCACCTTCTCAACATGAAATATGCTGCATCATGCTGAGATGACGAGAGATTTGCATACAAAATTGCCTGCTTGTTGATACATGATCTCCCCTGGCCCTTAATTTGCGAGTATATCCAAAAAAGCCACTGCATCAGTATAACAAAGCCTGCATACCTGCTCTGGGATGCTACACCGTCCCCAGTGTCGTCCTGCAATGGTGACACAGCGCTTCTCTCGCCAACAACTACTCCTGCACTTTCATAAATCTTGCCCTGCAGCATCACACCGGGGCGCACAGCCTGCATAGGTATTACAGCAAACTCCAGGGACGCAGCCATACACAAATCCATTAAATGAATTGCTTCTGAAATTGGATTTGGCAAAAAGTAAACTACAGCATCAGAAGATTATTTTGTGAGCCTCCATTATGCATGGTGTAGAGGAAAGAAGGAGTGGTCACAGAGAGGCTGACAGGCACTGACTCATTGCTCTTCAACCACAACCATGAGTCCTTGGGCATTAATATCAACAGTATACAATGTTGGTGATGAAATATTGATTTACCCTCTCTGGCTAGAATCCACAATCACTCACAGCAGACAGGTGGAGACAGACCTTCAGATAATTATTCATGAAAAGGGCACAGAAGCAATTCCTCACTAGCTGTGGGAAATCTGCCTTCACCTCCTGACTCAAACTGGTGAATCCTGCATAAAACCCACAAAACTGTTCTGACAAAACCCTGAACTGCTTCTTAGTTGTTTTTGCAGCAGCAGTCAATTGCACACCTGCTTACTCCGTCATCTAATGCTGTTCAAGATGTTGCTTTAATACAGAGGCAATATTTACACCCTCTGTTTGCCACCGATGCTCAGAGCAAATAGCGCACACGCAGCCTGTTCAGAAAGTATCAGAGCTTGAATGAAAGCCATCTGCATCATCCATGCTTTTTGTTCACCACTGTCCCAGAAAACCCTTATGACCCTTATAAGTAGCACATGACTCATGGACAGAAGGCATGTAAGGCGACTGTTATGTAGCCACAAAGGAAAAATTGTTATTAGTTTTAAAGTCTTGTGATCCGTGCAGAATTTATCAGTTTTTTTTTTTTCAGGAAATATGAATCGGCATCACTGATATTGAACGAGTGCAGAGAGACAGCATTTCATTTAGTCATATATTCAGAATCAGAAACAGCTTTAATGCCAAGTGGTTTTTAACACAAATGAGGAATTTGCTTTGGTGACTATGTGCGTAATTCAGTCTTATTTTTGACCAAAAGCAATAAATGTTTGACCTATTTCAAGATTCACATGCATGTGTTATTCCTCAAGCCCTGGACAGTTCAGTCATTACTAGTGAACTCAAATCACTCTCTCCTAAAGCTTGAACCTTGGATAGGTGACCTTTAAACTAGTTTTGTACCTGTGATGTCAAATCTCTCCATAAACAACAAAGGGAGCAGTGACTTTGTGGAGCCATTAAATGCTACCGTCTCCACACAATTTTTATGATTATGTTTTAACAATGCTACCTGGTGAAAGAAAGAAGTCACGCCTAAATCTATTTGAGTCACATTCACTTGTTGGTCAGCGTTCACAAGCAGTGACTGAAGTGTTCTGAGGCAAACAAATAAAGTGACTTTTTAAAATGATGGCATTCAACTTTAATTGGTTTCTTAAAGTGAGAGCATTTTTGCAGTGTGACTCACTTGTTGTGAGGTAGATGGCACGGGGCTCAAGGAAGTGATCGGTGGTTTAGCAGAGGGAAGGGTGAGGCGCTGTCCTGTGTCTGGAGGTGTGAAGAGCGAGCGGGATCGGGAGCTCATCTCCAGGCGTTCAGGGCTGGGCCTGCTTGACTGGGCCTCCTGGGAGAACACAGGCTGGCTTGATGACTGGGTTGGGGTGGCGGGTGGTGTGGAGAGTCCTGAGGCTGCAGAGAGATAAAAATAAAAGGACCACAATTATAGATACCACAACTTATCTCTTGTTTCTCTCAATGTCAATCCATACGCCGTTCCCAGGGACACTGAAACACAGCGCGGATTGACATTGTTGATAGGCTTAGTTGGCAAGACTGAGGCCCTACAATCGTGACTGCCTCAGATACCATCAATGCTGTCACATGCTATTACAGAGAAGGAATGCATTTCTGATCCATCAGGTTGCTGCGGGTCCTGGCTACAGAGAAACAACACAGATACCAGGGATAAAGCCTCAGCCCAGTTGCTGACAGACGGGGGTGCAGCATTACAATCAATCACCATTACTAAAAGAGCTTGTATACATTATATCAACTTAAATAACAATTAGCAACTTACAGACATAAATAGTTTTTGCTATCCACTCCTTCTATAACTCATGTTTTAAAAAATACTGTTAAATCTATAAAATGTTATACAATTCACAACATTTTAAAAAAGGTTGTTTACATTTTTACAAGGCCCCACATGCCCATGGTCAACCCACACAGGTGTTTTCACTTATTTTGCCTGATTAGACTTTGCCTGAAGACTGTGTGGGAACGTAATTATAGTTTGCCCAATTTCAACCTGAGCAGAAGTCTAATTAGCCAGAAGTGAAAACACCTGCGCAGGTTTCCAAAAACCTTTTTGTTAATCCATTCAATAGTGTGCCCTCCAAGCTTGCACTTGTTTTGTCTCTTGCTTTTTTGTTTGTTTTCAGCCTTGTGTGGGATCAGTGGCCAAAAGCGGAACAGTGAGCGCTCCTGTTGCACCTCTGTGGGTTGGACTTCATTACATTTTTAGAGTGACAAATTGGCTGCATGTCTTTACATTATAATGTAATGTGTATAATGATGAAGAGAAAAGAAAGGCTCAAACGCTGTAAAACAAATAATCAATAACAAAATGACAAAAAGACAACCGTTTTATTTAAATTCTAAAAATTTTTAAATCAATGGGTTCAACATTTTTAAATTACTGGAGTACAGCTATGATGTTGCATATTTACTTTTACTTTATTGTCCCTTTTTAAATAGTTTATAAATTATCAATTAATCAAGTAATTGATTATATTTAACCACTTCCTCAATAACACTGCAGTGAACAGACAGCTGTTGACATCTACATTATTCGGTGTTCCCTTGATGGCACTCCAAAGTTCAACTCACCGAAATGAATGATGTAAAAAAAGGGATCCATAATGGATCAATATTGGAAAAAGAAACACAATGAATCATGCAGATTGTGTTTTCCCTGTTCCTGGCGCCCCTCCACAGTAACTAGGCCGATTACAACATAAGCAGCCGCATTAAACCCAACAGTCTGTCTGTGACATGAGCTCCTCCTGCGGAAGTGTCAGGTTGAAGGTGTCAGTCACATGACAGCCCTCACACGCTCTTTCACATCAGGCGTCACGATCTTACGCGGGGTGACACGCGACACTCACGCTGCCCTGGCTCCACCCCAATATTTCTGAGGCCAGACAAAGAGTGGCATGGGTGATGTGGACCAAATGGGTCACACGTCTTCCACCACGAGACTTTGTGTTGTCTTTTATCTTTCATTGCATATCCAGCACTAGTGAAAATATAAGCAGCAGTTTCAGTAAATCAGCCCACTTGACTCAGTCATATGAAATGAGCTGAGATCATTTATAAGTCATTCAAGCATATGACAAAGTACAAAGTATTTAGCATCTTTCTTAGGACTTTCTGCTATCTAAATATAATCTTCAAGTAATAATAATCACAAAAAATAAAAACATTCAAGTTAGGAGATATTTTTCATAAATGAAACCCTGTGTGTTGCGTGAACATTTTTCCTTGGTCAGTGCACTCCACACTATCTCTTGACATTTAGTTGGCATGCACCAGCCCTTTTTGGCGTACCCTGTTTCCGCTGTGTAGCCTTCTTATTTTAGTCACGCTGTTGTGGCACATTCCACAGGAGGAGATAACAGCGGGGCTGGGAGCCCTCTCTTCAGCCTGGTTTATAGGGGGTAAGCTAGACACCACACAGGAAACAGGAAATTGATGCCTTGCTGCAAGTAGTACAGTCAATTTAACTTTACATATATTTAAAAAAACATGCAGTATATAATATTTTAGAGCGAAGTTACCTAAGAACATACTACAGAGCGGTTTACGCAGGGAGACACAAGCAGCATTGATTTGTAAAGTAAATCTCTCCTTAACCTGATAATCAGTTAATTGCCATTTGACCACTTTATTACCGTTTTATTTACAGATGAAACTATCAGTCAAATTAATCAATTAGTCGACTCATAAAATTCATCTGCAACTATTTTACAACTAATTCATTTTTAAAGTAATTTTCTAAGTAAAAATGACAATATTTCCTGGTTCCACAATTGTGAGGATTTACTACTTTTTTGTCTTACGTGATACTAAACTGTACAAAAACTGTCCCAACTGCTAAACAAGCAATATAAAAAAAAAAGAGGTCACCTTAGGATTTGGGACATTTTAATGGGCATTTTTCACTATTTTCTGATTATTGTAGGTCAAAAGATTAATCAATCAATCAAGAAATAATAATTTACATTTTACAAAGCTGAAACAATTATCCTAGTTTAATAATCAATTAGACAATCGACAGAAAAAGAAGATTAATAACTATTTTCATCATCAATTTATCATTTCAGTCATCTTTCAGATGTCTTTCATAGGTCGGCAATGCCAAACATTCTCTGTTACCAGCTTCTCAATTTGTAAAAAAAATTTTTTCCCAGTTTGTATCAAACTAAACTGAATATTTTTTCAGTTTTTAACTGTTAGTTGAACAAAGCAAGCTATTTGAAGATATCACCTTGGACTTTAGGAAGTTGTGTGAGATGTGCTCAGTGGTTCACAGGTGTTCGCAGAAGGTTGCAGATTAGCAGGGGCTAATCACACTTGGTTGTTCTATTGAAATTTTTCTGCAAGCTGTGTTAACATAACACCCACAAAAAAGCGAATCCTCTCAGTCTGGGTGGCCCCTGAGGAGTAGACAGCGTGTTTTCAGTTAAGTGGGGCTACTGTGCCTCTGGCAGCAACATAAGCTAACATAAGTAAGGCTTCTCCAGGCCCAGAGGACGTGCCTTCGTTTGCACTAGTTAGAACTGGTGTGTGGACTGTGAAGCAAAAGGTGATATGACAGTGAGTAACCCCCAGTTAGCAACAAAGGTTTCAAACTAATTAATTTATTTGGGTAAACTGTTAAGGGATATGACTGTTCAGCGCTGCAGTAACAGCATGTTCTCTAACTCACATAGGTAACTGCATCATGGCAAAACATTTAAATGAGCAGTCACAATTCAAACACACAGCAAATGGACATCCTCTATTTGGCAACTGCTGAAATTTCTCATGCAGATGTCAGCATCTTAGACGGTGCAGTGAACATTGAAAGCGGCATAGTTTACTTTCCACAGTGTAGAGGTTCTGGATCATAAGACTTTAGAGTATAGGCAGAGATGTCACCATGTCGTATACTGTCTTTTACGATGAACTCTACATCTTCTACATCCACATATGGAGGTACATAATTGTGACAGGACTCCTCTCATCTACTCCACCGAGGTCAGACTGCCTCTAAATCAGGATCCGTAGCATCTGTGATAAAGTGCCACACAGTGGGTCCCAGTGCTTCACTCATCAAGCATTATGAGCCAACACTTAACAGTAACTGCAGTAAGTCTGCATGGTGGTCAGTGCTTTTTTGTCACTGTTCAAGGACCTGCTTCTGGAGGAATATTATGTACAGAGATACTGTCCCCACACATAAGGGAAAAAAGCCCCCAAAATTCAACTTGTTTTGACTGTTCCTCCTTCAGCTGAAATGCTTCCTGTCAATTTAAATAGGCCTACAGATTTCAAAATGGAGCAGCTATTCTGAAGGGACTCCCTTAGGATGTGGGACAGAAGTAATGACATTGAACTGACACTGACTCAACTGACTCAAATAGAGTGGCTATAAATCACTTTACCATAAGGAAAAGTCTCACTTATGGTATTCCATTTAATTCAGACATAGCATTAACAAGACTACTGTCACATACCGTCCGTCGTAGATAACACCGCCTTGACATATGAATTACTGGAGACATATTAGTCTAGCACAATGCATAAAGCATCATGTAGAATGTGCAGATGCATCTCTATGAACTTAGATCAAGTTTCAGCTAGCCTCTTGCTGCAGGTCAACCCCACACAGATAGCTGTACCACTTTGGGCTGTGTCCTGACAATCTGTACAGATGTACTGCATGCTTTTGTGAAAGCAGGGACTAGTCATGTAACCAGCACCTAAACTATACAAACTATATATAAGACCACAACAAAAAATATTCAGCAACCATATGCACAGTAAATAATGAATACAGTATATAGGCAAGGAATAGATTTATACCAAATAAAAAACAGATGCTCCCCTGAGTCTTGATGTTTACAATACATTTATCTGAAACCTTATTTCCTTAAAAAGGTGCACTAGCAGTGACTTCACTATGTATGCTGTTTGACTGTAAACATAAAAAGATTCCAAGATTACTGTACTGTAACTGGAGGACGCTGCAGGAACATTTTAAGATAAAGTAGTAACAGAGCAGGTGACGAGCACAGCGCATTACCAGACAGACATGATGCCTCGGACTGATGCCTCCCTCCTAGCCCATCTTGCTCCTTCCTTTTCTTGCTCCTCCTCAGGCTGCCAAACCTCTTCATGGATTGCAGTGGGTTGTTGGTTCAAAACTAAATTTGACCATGACCATCTGCATCACGGTAGGGGCACAGAGATGTCTCAAAAAGGTCCCAAGTGAGGGTTACTCCACTTGCTAGATGAAGAAAGTTGTACAGAACTGAAGTTGAAAAGTACATCCACTTAAGGGAGTCCAAAATGGTTAGTCTTTGAAGCAGTCTTTAGGAGGGGAGAGGGTCCTTTTTATTAATGGAGGAAAATGGTCACCTACAATCTATGGATGAAGAAAATATATAATAGTCTTCTGGCTTCTTCTGCAGGAGAAAACGTAATTTAAGCTATTCTATGATGTTGAGCACTTGACTTTCTCTAGAAGCCAGCAGTACAAGTTAAAAACAGAAAATAAAAACCACAGCAAGGCTAAGTTTGCATATCCAGGCAAAAAAAAAAATCCTCCAAGGCCACAGAGCACAGAGTCAGCAGGACGCAGTGTACAGTATCTTTGTCAACTCATACATTTGAAGGATCTTTTCCTTCAAATGGAGAGTTTGAAAGCAGTAAACTCCACACAGCTTCAGTTATGAAGTGTCCCTCTTGCAAGTGATGCAAATAAAAACTTGGGCCGCACTCTTTCCCACCCTCTATGCGGTGTCAGTGCTGTAAATTGTCAGGTGCAGCTGTGGGTGGCGTCTCTTTAATATAGCACGCATGTCGGCAGCCTATAAAAGGAGGCCAGTCTATGAAGGCTATGCCAGTGATTGGCTCAGGCTGCGCACCTCCCTGCCCCCCCTTACACCCACTGCCCTCCCTCTTCCCACAGAGTAAAGTCAGCACAGGCACATCTGTCTCACTCTGTCTTCACACAATGTAACATTCAGGCTCGCACAATCTCAGTGTTTCCTGAAATGAAAACTCCTTCCTTTCTAATTTCTCTGAATTTGCAGCTCAAAATTAAAGGGATTACGCTGGGAATCCTGCAGCTCTGTCATTTGTACAGCCCGTTCTCTGTAACTTTTGGGGGGCCTGACCTTTAAGATTGCTGAGGCCAGCCCCTGTCAGATGAAAGCAGGGGGACATCTCATTTTGCTGTCAGCTGATCAGAAAGCCTCCATTCAATACCACTAGCCTCCCCTACCCTTAACAGATGGCCCACTTAATATTTGCTGCTCACATTAGCTACAGCATGTCCAGTACAGATCTCAATTAACATGTTATGCAAGTGCTCCACTCCACTCAGTGGGTCAATGTGAGTGAGGGGTTGACATAGCAATGGTAAAACCAGTCACCTCAAACATACTATGATACTTTTCATTATCCTTATAAAATAAATTTGCTTCAATTTGTATTGAAGGTTGCTAAGTATCAGATCCATGTGGATTTTAAATACTGTTTATCCAAACATCTACGTGTTCATGGTGTATTTTGTTAAGTGCTTACCTGGCTTAGCATCCTCACTCAAAATAAAATCATTCTGCCCTTGTAAGGCCTGTGTTTTGAGAATTTGGAAAGTCAAAACTGCCCGGTTCCTTTATTTACTGACAACATACAGCACACAGTAGCAACAGAGAGAGTGAGTGAGAGAGAGTTGGAAAAAATGAAGAAGAAAAAAAACACTGCATGGTTGTGTGAAGAGCTCCTGAGAGTCTGGTCACTTCCAGATAAGGGTATGAAAGCTCTACAGTTGCCTTCAACAGTGAAAGACTGACAATGTCCAGGCGATGGGAAAACACATATTTAGACCAGATGGGAATGAGAAGACATTCTGATCATATATGTAGCAAATATGGATATAAATGCGCCTGAGAAAACATAGTCACCTAATGTTTATTAGTCACATTTATGTTTACTAAAATGGTATATAAAAATACAGATAATAATGTACAGGTTATAAAATTGACAGCTTATTCAACACTAGTTGAAGAACTACATCAAGACAAGATTATGCCTTTAGCACACCCTTGTGGCAAAAGTAGCGTGTCTACAAAAACATCCCACTAATAAAAATAGAAAAGCTCAGCCTGTCCACTCAGTTGCTGCATGATATTAATTTGTTACTACTATCATTGGCCCCCGATCATTTAAAGCCCCATCATTATTCAGAAAACAAACAGAGGATGGAATGTCTCAAACCACATCAAACTCTGGAAATCCTGAGCAGCTGGCACGAGAGGGCTGTAGCTGTTGGTGTGTTTTGGTGTGTTTTAGCTTGGTTACCATCAATAATCTCCAAAGCAAACGGAGCATGCTCTCTCTTGAGGTCTGGCCCTGACAGAACTATTCCAACAGCCACTGCCAAACTGACCCTCTGTGAGGAAACAGAAGAATGGGTATGTGTACGAGCCAAAAACGTATGACTCATCTTTGTGCCGTTTGATGCTGCTTCCAGCAGGGCTGTTTCCGTGTAAAACAGGCTGGTTTTTGTTATGTAATAATCAGCCGCCCAAATACATGGAGACATGAGAGCTGAAAATCTGCCCGTGTCTGTTTTTCATAAAACTGCCTAGTCCATCTCAATTCCACTTCTTAGTGCATACCAGTATTAATGAGTTTTAACATTGAAGAATGGCTGGACTTCCACCGGTTGGATGGCAAACCTGTAACAAACAAACAACAAACCCCAGTCCACCCATTTATTTGAATGTGGGGGTAGTGTGTTAACGGTGCAGTAGTGTGAACTGCAGGGTATGCCGAAACTTTTGCAACTTGATGTCACGCTGCGGTGCCCAATCACATAAGCTGTGATCAGACTAAGATCAAACAAAGCCAACCATTTAATTTTCCTAGTTGTTGGCATTAAGAAGAGAATGAACATATATCTATCAGCACTTAAGTGATTGGCCATCTGTCTGACAATACAGGTGACCCTGTTGGTCTGCAGGGCATCCCAAAACAAAGCAGTGGATAGGCTTCTACTTCCTTATTGCTGCATGAGATGTTTTTACAGTATCTCATAAAAGTGAGTACACCCCTCACATTTTTGTAAATATTTGATTATATCTTTCCATGTGACAACACTGAAGAAATGACACTTTGCTACAATGTAAAGTAGTGAGTATACAGCTTATATAACAGTGTAAATTTGTTGTCCCACATCACACATTAATGTCAAAACCGTTGGTAACGAAAGTGAGTACACCCCTAACTGAAAATGTCCAAATTGGGCCCAATTAGCCATTTTCCCTCCCCGGAGTCATGTGACTCGTTATTGTTACAAGGTCACAGGTGTGAATGAAGGAGCAAGTGTGTTAAATTTTGCTCTCACACTCCTTCATACTGGTCACTGGAAGTTCAACTGTATGTCAGGTCTGTCACAAGCAAGATATCTATTAACTCACAAACTTTATATAACACTTATGTAGCATTATAGAACTCAATTAGAAGCAGGTTCCTGTATGTGGTTTTACTTCATACAGCAGGAAACCCAACTTATCTTTTGAGATAACACTGTTTCATCTATTGTGTCTTACTTCCTTTATAATCGTCTTCCCTCTAGTTCTGGTCTTGCACAGTATATAAGAACTGATTTGCATTGCCAATACAAACCAGTTACAACAGCCATTTCAGCTTCCACCAACATTAAGCGTGTGAGTGTTTGTCATGAATGGGCAATGACAGGTTTCAGACTCACCTCTCCTGGTTCTGGAGAAAATTTTGATGCTTGCAGGTGTGGAGCTGGATGAGGAGCGGAAGATACCACTGAAGCTTAGGCGATGGGGGGACTTGGGAGAGGGGTTCTGATGGGGGGGGGTAGGGGAAGATAGTTTTAGGTGAACCTGAGCTGGTCTTCGATTGCACTGGAGCTGAATGAGGACATGGGGGGAGAAGGGCGCTGGCTGGGCTCCTGGCAGACACTCCCTTGGTGGGGCTGGCTGATCGGATGTGGCGCTCTCCCTGAGAGACAATAAGGAGGCAGTTTTACTTTCCTGCATTTTTGGAAGTGAGGGTTTATGTTCACTGTGCAACAACAGTGAGTGAGAGTGAAAACTTAACTTAAGATCCAAAGCAAAGGGCCGTACTGAATGATGTATTATGAAATGACTGACTGCACTTTGGATTACTACTACTTTTTTTTTTACCTATGAACCACTGTTTAGTTTAGTTAGCCACACTGTTAAAACTTAATGGTATCTCATAAAGAGCAGTACGAGAATGTGAGAATCATGTGCCACATGCATAAATCTGTAACCGTTTACAATAACGTACACACAATTGTGGAACGAGCGAGGAACAAATCAGGAACGACCTGATTTTTAATAGTTAATAAGTTGCGTTCCCAATATCTCAAATCAAGGACTATTGATGATAATGGAGAGTTACGAGATTACAGAATTACATAATGACCACCCTTTTCATGAGTAGTTCCAGATTAACGCTGAATCAACCACTGAGCTGCACAAAACTAGTAACTCATTAATTACTCTTAACTTAGGCTACAGGCCACACTAATATGTTTTCTTTATAAAACGCAGACTTTTTGCTACGTTTGCACCTCCCATCCAGACTAAAACAGCGAATCCGAATACCTACAACGAAGAAGTTTAAAAAAACGCTGCTGACCCCATTTTCGTTTTAAAACTTCGAGGTAGCGTATTATTAGTGAGGACAGGTGAAAACAGAGGACTTTAAAAACAATGACGCAGACACTCACATTCCTGATTGGGTCTTTTAAGTATGCAAAGCAAAAACAAAATGCTACTGACAGTGTTTATGTTTTGGTATTTCTATTAAAATATTTTGTGCTGTGCAAATAACACACATGTGCTTGTCGCCGTATTTACTTTGCGACGACTCCCACACTGTTTCAGTGCCACAGTTTGTAATCCCGTGTTATTTTCAGTAAAAGTTCCACCTCGTCGTCAGTCTGTTCCAAAAAATCTTTGGTGTGGATCTTCGTCTGTAATAGTACTTTCTTGTTTCGCTAAATGTGATGTTTTTGTAGACACGCTACTTTTGCCACAAGGGTGTGCTAAAGATAATCGCCTTCATGTTTACACCATCACGAACATGCCCAGTGTACGTGAATGATCACTAGATGTGCGTCGTTTTGATATAGACGGAGATCAACCATGATACGCAGCTAAAACGCTGGTGTGGAAAGAGATCGTATTCGTTATAAAACTCAATTCTTCCATACTCTACTGTTTACAAAAACGTAGTAGTGTTGATGTAGCCTTAATCATTAGTTACTCTTTTTGTGCACCCAAGTAAAGTGATACATCATACTGAGTTTGTTAAGTAATCCCTCTTATCTCATGATTACCAGACTGTTACTTATCTAGAAAAAAATAATTACCATTACTTAACATTTCTGTGCTAAGTACCGCTTTTATTAAAAGCCTAGTCTCAATTAAAAGCCTGGTCTGGTTTCTACAGAAGTTCTTTAGAT